AACAGCCTCTGTCACCGGAGCTGAAGCTGTTGCAGCTCAGGCAATATCTGTCCGGTCCACCGTTGAAGACTGTTGAGACGTATGGTTACTCGGCAGCGGCCTACGCAGCAGCACTCCAGCGACTTGACCAAAAGTACGGAGGTGAGAAGCGCAAAACAGCCGTCCACATGTCCGCGCTCCAGGACATGCCAGCAATCCGTGAGCGTGGCACAGCCAAACAGCTCGAGCGTTTCGCAGATCTTGTGCAAGTCGCCAAGATTAACTTGATTGATGCTGGCCGTCAGAATGAGCTGTCGTACGGTACGTTCTGCACTCAGCTGCAGCAGAAGCTGAGCCAAGATCTGTTAACGGCGTACCACCGGTGGCGTTGCGATAACAATATTGTCGAGTCGGTCGACTCGCTATTGCAGTGGTTAGTACGGGAAGCAGATTTCCGCACGGAAGCGGAGGAGACCCTGCAGAGTGTCTCGCATAGCGTTGCAGCCACACGTCTGATGAGCAAGCCTGCCAAATCAGACATTTCCACAGCAGCAGCTCTTACCGTCACCTCATCGAGCGTAGAATGTGTGTTTTGCGGCAGCGGACACGAGTCCTCGCAATGTTCGTCCATCACAGACATCAAGCGCCGCAAGGAGCTGATACGCAAGAATGGTCGTTGCTTCATCTGTCTGAAGAAGAACCACATGGCTCGCGACTGCAAGTCCAAGCTGAGATGTAGCAAATGCGAGCATCGACATCATACGTCCATTTGCGAACCCAAGTCGTCAGAGCAGCCTGGGACTGGCGCGAAGACATCATCTCCGCCATCTAGACAAGGCGGAAGTGGAAAATGGTCGAAGCCAGTGTTTTCGTCAACAACCGCAGCTACTGTCAGCGACAGCGGAGCTGTATTTCTACAAACTGCACAGACCTCGGTGGTCTCGCCTCAACGTCCAGATCGAAAAGTGCCTGTGCGAGTAATGCTAGACGGTGGGAGCCAACGCTCGTACGCTACATCATCGGTACTGACTCAGTTGGATGTGCGCCGCTCCGGTCAAGAACGTGTAGTGATAAACGCGTTTGGCGGCGAACAGCCAAGCCCAAGCACACTCCGGGACGTGGTCGAACTGGACATTCAGTGCGTCGATGGCAACCGGATTCGTGTCAACTGCATCGTCGTGCCATCAGTCTGTGCACCCGTGCAAAATCAGCACACCGCAGATGTAGTCACAGCTTACGAGTCTCTACAGAATCTCAGTCTCGCCGACAACTGTGGCGGCTCAGCTAGCATCGACATTCTACTCGGCGCTGACGTTTATTGGCAGATCGTCACGGGCGACATCGTTCGTGTAGATGATGGGCCAACTGCTCTCGATACTCGCCTCGGGTGGGTTCTGTCCGGACCAACAGGCAGGTGTAATTCAGGCATCATCTCTACTAACGTCGCAACCGTTCACGCTTGCGATGTCGAACCATCTACATTGTGTTCACGACGGAGGTGGGCACTTCAGTACAGCTAGTCGCGGCAAAGACTCGTGTTGCGCCGCTGAAGCAACAGACCATTCCCCGCCTCGAGTTGCTTTCAGCACTGGTATTGGCTCGCCTGATGGCATCCGTCTCCTCAACGTTGGCGGAGCTGAAGATTGATCAGATTCACTGCTGGTCAGACTCCCAAGTGGCACTGGCATGGATAGCTGGAGTGGAGCAAACATGGAAGCAGTTTGTGGAGAGCCGGGTTACGGAGATCCGACGTCTCGTTCCGACGTCCTGCTGGAGCTACTGCCCAACAGCTTCGAACCCAGCTGACCTGCCGTCGCGCGGAGTGAAGCCCAGTGAGCTCACTAGTACCATTTGGTACACTGGTCCGAAGTGGCTACACGAGCCACAACCCCGAGCAGAAGTCGACAGCGGCTCCGCAGCATCGCAGTGTGAAGAAGTCGAGAGAGAGCGGAAGGCAACACCTACCACGGTCATGGCAGTCGGCTGCACCTCGCACAGCAGCATCGAGAAGGTCATCGATGTGAATCGATTCAGCTCACTGAGCAAACTGCTGCGTGTGACCGCTTACGTCCTGAAGGTCACAGACCTGTTGAAGCGTCGCAGCAAGACCACACATCTGTCTGCGAAGGATCTCCACAGAGCACATACACTGTGGATGGTCAACGCTCAACAGGATCTGTCCAAGGACAAGAAGTACCCTGGTTGGTGTAAGGAGTTCGGCCTTTTCACCGACGAGAGTGGCATTCTACGGTGTGGTGGACGTCTGCAAAACGCCGGACTGTCGCATGATCAAACCCATCCGGTTTTGCTGAACGCGAACCACCCGTTGACACGTCTAGCCGTCCTGCAGGCGCATGACACGGTATGCCACAATGGTGTCAAGGAGACACTAACCGAGCTACGATCCCGTTACTGGATCATTCGTGGTCGGCAATTCGTACGAAAGATTGTCGGCCAATGCACCGTTTGTCGACGTCTCGAGTCGAAGCCGTACGCTCCGGAAGATTCACCTCCCCTGCCAGAATTCAGGACCAAGGTGGACTTCCCCTTTAGTTACGTCGGTGTGGACTTCGCAGGGCCACTGTTTGTCAGGGAAGGAGCAGACACCAAGAAGGTATATATCGCGCTCTTCACCTGCGCCGTCAGCCGAGCGCTCCATCTAGATCTTGTGCCTGACCTATCAGCGGAAACGTTCCTCCGTTGTTTCAAGCGGTTTACGGCACGATTTGGCATCCCTCGGCACGTTACCTCTGACAACGCCAAGACCTTCAAGTCAGCGGCTAAGTCACTAGTGGGTTTGTTCGGTCTGCCCGAAGTCACTGACTATCTAACAGCACACGGCATGGAATGGTCGTTCAACTTGGAGAAGGCTCCATGGTGGGGTGGATTTTATGAACGGATGGTCCGATGTGTAAAACGCTGCTTGAGGAAGATTCTCGGCCAGGCACGCGTCACGTACGAAGAACTCCTCACCTTCTTGCTCGAGGTTGAAGCAGTCCTCAACAGTCGCCCTCTGACATTTGTGTCAACTGAAGATGTCGAGGAGCCGTTAACACCGTCCCATCTATTGTATGGTCGGCGCGTCCTGTCATTTCCGACAGTGTGTCCTGATGACGTCGGTGTCGCGTCAATTCAACGAGATGAGCTTCTACACCGACTCACCCACCTCAACACGCTCCTGGAGCATTTCTGGTGCAGATGGAGAAGTGAGTATCTACTCGAACTCCGAAACGCTCACAGGCGAGGCAATCAGCACGACCAAGGAGCAACAGTGTGCGTCGGTGATGTAGTGGTCGTGCACGACGACAATGAGAAGCGTGGCCTGTGGAGACTAGCGTTAGTCGAAGACCTCATCCGAGGCAAGGACAACAAGGTCCGAGGAGCGGTGATAAAATGCTCTTCCCGCGGAGGACGAGCATCCACCATGCGTCGCCCGGTACAGCGACTGTACCCTGTGGAGGTAGCAAGACCTGCACCAGCCGCCGACGTTCTCGACGAACAATCGCAGGCCCACGTTGCGGACACAGCCTCCGCTGTCCAGCAATCTGGTGCGCACCCCGGCGCCATGCGCCCGAAGAGAGATGCTGCCCGGTCAGCTGATAAGGCCAGACAGCAACTGATTAATGCCGGCTCCTTATAGAGCTGCAGCAGCAATATTCTGTGATTAGATGAGAGCATCACGTTGCACCATGCTCTGTACTCTAGTAGCATCACACTGTTGTAGGAACGAGTCAGGTACATGTAGTACACTAATTTCTAAGCTCTCATCTGGAGGGAGTGTGGAATATTGCATGCTTGTCAATAGTGCATGCTTGTTAGAGATTGCATGCTTGTCAGATATTGCATGCTTGTTAGATAATGCATGCTTGTTAGAGATTGCATGCTTGTTAGATATTGCATGAATAAGAGTATTGTCACAAACTAATGGTTCGCACCAAGCATACATACAAGCACACAAGCAATTGATTATACAGTCTTCTTTCTTCTTTCTATCGTGTCTTCTAAAGTATTTTACTTACCTTTTGCGCCATGGTACGTCTACGACGTTCCCATGGTCTTCACGTACGACATACGGTTTTCTAGCCCTTTTTCCTGGAGCTTGTCTCCTCGTGTCGTTTCTGTTTCATTGGTTTTACGTTGTCTAATGATAAGCAACAGTTTGTTTGAGTCTAAGAGAACCCAAGATGCGCTCGCGTTGAGCCAAAGCAGCCTTACAAGATAACCTTTTGTAAAATCACTGCGCACGTGCCAGCGGCCTAAAGATGAAACAATGCATTGTGTAATGCAAGACGGAACTGCCGGGCACCTTGCAGTACTAATGAATCGCCAAGAACTAGGGGTGAAAGTTGGCACTGAGATCCCGAGTTTGAGTACTCTGATTTTCTCCGATCGAATATTCGAGTATTCGAGTATTCTTGATATCCTAAAAATCGCACACCAACCGCCTTGAAAATCACATGATACAACCCTGATTGAACTGATTGGCAGTTCATTTCTCGGGTGCATTGGTTGGTGGGTCATTTGGGCTCTCTCTACTCCTGTAAAAATGTTCACCACACAGTCTGCACATCAATATCTGCTGATTGCTGCTCTGAAACTGCAGACTTCTGTGGTAAATGTATGTACCATGTATGAGCGAGTACTCTGATTTATTCCGAGTACGATTAGATTTGAAAAATCCAAACGAGTATTCGAATACAGTGAGTATCGTTTATAAAGTGACCGGGTGTAACGATATACCGGCTATAATGATCGAACTTGCCAAAATCAAAATCAAATCACAAAAAAATACACAAATAATCTACGTGGAGATAAAAGTTTAATAATAGCAATGAAAAGTATGAATGCCGCAGACATCACCACGCAACATGACAATTTGTTCAAGGTTTGGTTTTGTGTGTTTCCAAAATCGATTCCTCCTTCCGTACACTGATGTCTCTTGTTACTACGGGCGTTGAGTTTTCATTTGATAACGTGATGTATAGGCAGGTGGATGGGGTAGCCATGGGATCACCATTAGGTCCAGTGTTGGCAAATATATTTGTTGGCTACTGCGAATCTCTTGTGGACCCGTCACTGTGGCCGGAGTTTTACGTTCGTTTTGTCGACGACTCGTTCACATATTTTGATTCAGTACAACAGTGTGACGCCTTCTTGGACCGATTGAATAACGTACATCCCTCTCTGAAATTCACGGTTGAGCATGAACAGAACAACACCTTGTCCTTTCTAGATGTGCGTGTGGAGAAGTCAAACGATGAAATTGTAACGTCAATATACAGGAAACCAACATTTACCGGACAATATATCGTGTTTGACTCGTATTGTTCGTACCTGTATAAGGTCAACCTGGTGAAGAATCTGGTGGATAGAGCGCGGCGAATCTGTTCCCCCTCTCGACTCAAGGATGAGCTAGGTTTTCTGAAATCTGTGTTTCTCAAAAATGGTTACCCGGAGGAACTGCTAAACAAGCTACTAAAATCAGCATCAAAACCAAAGGTCGTCATCATTGGTCCAAGTCGTTGCCCAGTCTACCTTTCCTTACCTTGGAAAGGAGAGGCATCACAGACATTGTGCCGCACAATCAAAACGCTAGTTACACAAACATACTTTGCGGCGCACTTCATCCCTGTGTTCACTACGATACGTGCGTTCACGGTGAGGAAGGATGTCCTACCATCCCACCTATTGAGCCACTTGGTCTACCAATTTGAGTGCCGAAATTGTGATAGCCGGTACGTTGGTAGGACCCTTCAACACCTGAGCGCACGTATCAAGCAGCATGTACCACTTCACATGCTGCCGGACGCAGCAAAAGCGAAGCGCCCGAAGCGGGGAAGACCACGCAAGAACCCGCTCCCTCTACCACCGACACAACCAGAGCAAGTCGAACACACGGTGCAGAGGAAGAGTGGTGGATCACTAAGCCAACCGAATGTGCCTTCTCCACCGTTGCCCTTGCCGCCACCGGAGCCACCACCAGTGCCGTTGGTGGCTGGGGTTGGGGAGGAGTCGGCAACAACAACAGTACCGCCAATCACAGACATTGAGCCCATTTCTTTGACACAGTATCCGACTGTGCGGACACCGCAGCACCCTCCGGCGCTTGATCCGTGGGTCCAGAGACCACGGAGGTCGACCGCCAATTATTCAACCGAAATATATGCTAGGAATGGCCAAGGCCCACGCGGAGCATCGAAGGAGACCGGAAGCCGGGGGCAAAACGGAACACAATCTCGGGACGTAGATGAGGTAAGGACAGTGACACGGGACAGACGTAGGAAGGAGAACATGGATGGTATCAGACGACTGACTGGTGGTGAATATGAGTTGGGTGATGATGCGGCGGATGACGAGAATACAGATGACGACGAGGCGGATGACGGCGAGGATACAGATGACGACGAGGCGGGTGATGACGAGGCGGCGGATGAAGACGAGGCGGATGACGGTGAGACGGCTGGTGGTGATGGTGATAAAACGGACGAGGAGGAGTCAGGTGGCAGGGAAGGTGATGGAGCTGATGAGGGTGAAATTCGTAAGAAGTCAGCTGTGTATTTGCATTTGTTATCTCGTCCCGATTGTTTGAGTGTGTATGATGATTCCCACTTCTCTGTACTGTGTCGTGCCCGTTATGTCCAGCAGTTGAAGGTCCTTGAAGCTGTTTGTATTCGTACGCATAAGCCCGATTTGTGTAAGCAAAAAGAACATGTTTTAGCACTTAGGTTATTTTCGTGAGTTTGCACCCCGTGTTCATGAGTTGTTTCTGCACTGTTCATGCCCGTTTGTCACACTTACTCTTTATTTTAGTTCTCACTTTTTGTAAAACTTACCACAAGTTACCCGTCATGTGTCACACTTCTTTGGATTTTTAACCTTTGTTTTTCCCTTGATCTCTTTAGTTCCGTATTTCCACTGATGATCGGAACGTGAAAATCGATTTTGGAAACACACAAAACCAAACCTTGAACAAATTGTCATGTTGCGTGGTGATGTCTGCGGCATTCATACTTTTCATTGCTATTACAAAAAAATACAGCTAAAATATCACTATACACACTATTATCGGCTATACCGATATATCGCTTATTGTGATGGGCTTCAGGAAGCAAACCACATCAAATGCACAGGAAAATATCGTATATACTGATCAAGAGTGATGATCACAAAACGATTGTTCTTCAAATTTAGTTCATTTCTTCCAAAACTGATCCAGTGTTGCCTGGATGCATCTGGCAGCAGACGCGATTGAGAGAAAACTCTTCCCTGTATGCTGTAAGCAGCCACATGTACACGTGGCTGCTTTTCATGCTTTTTCCAGCACGTACGCATCATTTCATGCACAGTCATGTGCCATGTGTCAGTCATACATGCAAATCGGCTATAGTGATGCACCGGATATAGTGATGCACCGGATATAGTGATAAATTATCGAAAATCAAAGGGGCACGTTATATCCACTATTTACTGTATTCGGTATAATTGTTTCACCCCTACCAAGAACACAATACAACCAAACAGGATGTGTGTGTGTGGGGGGGGGGGGGGGGGGGGCAGGGGAAACCGTGGCAGTTGTCCCGAAAATCCGTTTTTTCCATTTCCCGAAATTACCTTGCCACTAGGGGTGAAATGAGTACTACAGTCTTGTACATGTGTATCGAATACTTCAGCTCACAAATTTGAGAAGAGCGAGAACTCGCTTCGCAAAAATATACCCAAAGCATACTATGCACTACTGTACATCAAGTACTTCCGTTACTCTGACCGGTAACTATAGTTACTGCACAACTCAGGCAAGCACGTCCACTGTGGCCTAGCTCCTCCGGACATGAAACCGTGTGAAAGTCCTGTGCTTTTTGATTTTTGGGAGAAGCCCTTCCACGAGTTAGTGTTGTATTTGAAGAATGAGTTCTCTCCGCGGCAGTTTTCATCAGTTCCACCGGCTGCATGGGTGGGGTTGTAAGTTAACCTTTTCGTTCCATGAAAAAATACCGATGACGCCGGAAGCCCCTTACGTATTTTCTTCAGCTCGAGCGTATAATATTATGTTCCATGTCTCTTGTCTTGTCCAGTGGGCTATTCAACATGTCATTGGTGTCACGTGATGGAGCGGGAGACTTTCTCCAAGAAGGAGGTGGCCAACATCATGAACAAGAACTTTGTTAGCATCAAGGTTGACCGTGAGGAGCGGCCGGACATCGATCGAGTCTACATGACGTTCCTTCAGGTATGTGTACGTGTGTGTGTGTGTGTGTGTGTGTGTGTGTGTGTGTGAACGTGTGTGTGTACGTGTGTGTGCGTTTGTGTGTGTAAGTGGGGAGCATGCATATGTGTGTTCACTTGCATGTTTGTGTGCATGTGTGCATTGGTATGTGAGTGTGTGATTGAGCAAGTGAGGGGGAGGGGGTGAGCTATACTGATAATGTCTGTTTACCTCCTGTATGCTGGAAAGGCCGGCCCAAAAGGCGATCAGAATTCCGAGGTTTTACTCTACATCTGCACCTGTCTTGAAAGACCACCTGTTTTGGAAGACCACCTGTCTTGAAAGACCACCTGTCTTGAAAGACCACCTGTCTTGAAAGACCACCTGTCTTGAAAGACCACCTGTCTTGAAAGACCACCTGTCTTGGAAGGCCATCTGTCTTGGAAGATCACCTGTGTGGAGAGATATGTCTTGGGAGACAACCTGCCGTACGGGATACTAGTAACCTGTCTTGGAAGACAACCTGTATTGAAAGATCACCTGTCTAAAGAAAATCTGTACTTCTGTCACAAGTTCTGTGGACCTGGCATGGCCGCTTTTAAGCATTGGTGTGGCACGGCATGCTGTGTTCTCTTGCTCTGACTCAATGTATGACGGCGAGGGAGCTTAATATTGGTGTGTCACTGGATGCTATGTTCTCTTGCTGTGGCTCAGACAATGTATGACGGTGAGGGAGGGTGGCCAATGAACGTGTGGCTGACTCCCAATCTTCATCCGTTCCATGCCGGCACGTACTTTCCGGCCGTTGACAAGAAAGACAAGAAGGCCTTCTCCACTGTCTCTGTGGAAGTGGCCAAACAAGTAAGTCTTGCCCTCTGCCCTCTGCACACAGTATGCACACAGCAGGCGCGTAGCACCTACGTTGGCCGTGGTCCGGCCAGGGGGTCCGGGGGGGGGGGGATCTGCCCCGGAATGTTTTTGAAATTAGGGTGCAAAATCCTGCATTCTAGAGTTGCACAGGCCACTCAAGTGTTTAAACACCGTCAATGTACGTGCAAAACAGCCACAGGATCATTTGTTTTTGTCTGTAGCGTAACCGCAAGTGCTACATGTACATGATCGCAATGCTGTGGTATTAGTTAAACCCCCAGTGTCGGAGAAATTACCGCATGGTGTAATGTTTTTATATTTGCTATTTCCATGATGTGTCTATCTATGCGTGTGTATGTGCTTGTCCGTGTGCATGTCATGTGTCTTTCTCCTTGATGCTGCTGTGCGGGTGCAGTGGGAAGCACACTCTGATCTGATCATTCAGAGTGGCTTCGACATCATACAGAAGATCAGCCAGGCAATTATCTGTGAGATGAATTCCGCGTTAGACGTGCCGGGACCAGACTGCGTGGTGAACTGTTTCACGCAGCTGCGCGACCAGTTCGACGTGGAGAAAGGTGGCTTTGGCGGCACACCCAAGTTCCCACAGCCTGGTAGGTGTTGGTGATACTGGAAAACAAGCCCAGGGGTAGCTGGTCCCCATTTTAGGGGGGGGGGGCGGGAGTTAATGGCCGCATGTGTGTAGGATTTAGACGAAGATAATAATGCCTGTAGCAGATTCCCTCAGCTCTGGAAGTCGTACAGGGGAGTCGTGTTTGTACAACTCTCTGGTGATCAGTTTTACTGGCGTATGGGAATGTAACCGTGATGAGACTTGTCACCCTAAAACCGCTAGTAAACCTGTTTCCTGTTTTTTTTAAATACTTATACTGTTGTATGAATCCAACCTATTACAGGGAGCATCATGTTTGTAATTGTGTTTTGTGTCATCTAGCCTACCAATACCTAGGGACTCATGTGTGTGTGTGTGTGTGTGTGTGTGTGTGTGTGTGTGTGTGTGTGTGTGTGTGTGTGTGTGTGTGTGTGTGTGTGCGTGTGTGTGTGTGTGTGTGTGTGTGTGCGTGTGTGTGTGTGTGTGTGTGTGTGTGTGTGTGTGTGTGTGTGTGTGTGTGTGTGTGTGTGTGTGTGTGGTGTGTGTGTGGTGTGTGCATGTGTGTGTGTGTGCCTATGTGTGTGTGTGTGTGTGTGTGTGTGTGTGTGCGTGTGTGTGCGTGCATGTGTGCGTGTACGTCCGTGCACACATGCACATGTATTGTGATCACTACTTGCAGTTACATTCAATTTTCTACTGAACCTGTACGCCAGCAATCCGTACAGCAACAACGGACAGCAGTCGTTGACCATGACCCTGGTGTCATTGAAGAACATGGCCGCTGGAGGTATCCATGACCACATTGGGAATGTACGTACTCTTGCCCTCGAGCCCAGTGACCATCTGTGATATACAGTAAAACCTGGTTTAAGCGACCACCCCACGGTGCAAGCAAAAGCGGTTGTTAAAGCCAGGTGGTCTTTAGAACCAGGTCACGCAGTGTGGGTCCATTGTTATTAGGCATCTGCCTGTTTTGGTTTCTCCACTATAAATAAAAGAATACTACTACTACTACAGTGTCTGTGTAGAACTGCCCGTGCATGGAAAAAACGGTCCTTGAGAGCAGGTGGTCGCTTACACCGATTTACTGTATGTTGATGATGTTATAGCAACCATTGAGGAGCCTCGTCTGAAACCTGATCATGGGGTGGCGGCGTTCCACGGGAGCGGAAAGGTGGTTCTTGACCCGCCCTGTACGCGAACCCGTGCAAATATTTCTATTTCATTTTTTTAACCCATTGAACGCTGATGACGTCTATAGACGTCATTGGAAATGCCCCCCATGCGCGGGATGACGTCTATAGACGTCATGGGATATATAGTGATTTCTGGCACTGGCTGGTGTGTAAAAGCACTGTTAGTCAGTTGGATCATGATCCTGCCTCTTGTACGATAGGTCGTTGGTACGAATCCCGCTTGGAAACACTATGCGTCTTTTTTTCTTCTCTTTTCAGCGATCTTTCAGCTGCAATTTCACGCATTTGGCGTATTTCACGCAATTTGAGCAAACTTGCGTCCCCTGTTGTGAGGCGCTATTCGTTTTGGGGACTGTATCGATTCTGTCACCCTGTGGTTGATAGTCTTGGCAATCATTTCCAAAATATTTGAGGACCCCAGTTGCCAGAACCCTGCAGTTTTAGAACTTGCTATTGGCCCTGTTTTTAGCATTTTATATGCAGAGTACCATAGGCAAGGCCCAGTAGCGCTGAATGGGTTAATAGCAATCAAGCCTCTGTATTTGGATTGTGTTTTCACAGGTGTGCATTGAGTTGTAGCATACGGCCTGATACACGCACATGGTATCATAGCACAAAGGGGCAACTGTATCGCTAAATCATGTGCGATCCCGGGTCACCCTTGGGGCAGGGCCAATCAATACACGCTTGCATACTGCATGCCTTTGCCTAGGTTCCGCTGGGTCAAGCCCGAGATCGCGGTCGTGAGTTGCATAGAGCACGGATAGCGCAAAACCTCCGAAAGTTGGGGTCGAAGCGGCCACTGGTTTGGGCACTATGATCTCTTGTCATCTTCCTGTATGCTACGTCTCCCTGGACAGGCAATCCTACCGCTCTCTCTCTCCCCCCCCCCCCCCTCCCCTCCCCGCATAAACATTTTTGTGAATGTGGAGGAATATATTAGCATGGGATGTGTCCCTGTCCAACTCCCCATTTTTCCATCTGTGTCCGTTTTTGCATGTGTGTGCGTGCGTGCTTGCGTGTATGTGTATGTATATACATGTAACTGTTTTGTGTCTGCTTGTGTGTGCCTGCATGTGTGTGCCTGCATGTGTGCATGTATACGTGTATGTACGTGTGTGCACGCAGGGCTTTCATCGTTATTCCACCGACAAGGCCTGGCACATTCCTCACTTTGAGAAGATGCTCTACGACCAGGCTCAGCTCTGTGTTTGTTACCTAGCTGCATACCAGGTTAGCAGCTACATAGTAGAACACTCATTTGACCTGTCTCTGGGTACAGCACTGTTGAGTGCTGAAGAACTGGGGGTCAGCCTCCCAGCCTAGACCGTTCCTATTTTCATGTATTGCAGTTAATGCGCAGTTGAGTCACCGTGTATACATTGGTATGCTGTGCGTGGTGACATTCTAGGCTGGTCGTTCTTCGGCACCCGGCTGTCCTGTAGCCCTGATTGTGTGCCAGACGTCCAAGGCTCCGTGAAATCTGTTATGTACTCTCCTGCCGAGGGACAGTGAAACGTCCACATAACATGCCTCCAGCTGTAAAATATCTACTTTGTAGTCGATGTACTTGTATCATTATACCTCCGGGGATTGTAAAATCTCTACTTTGCAGTCGATGTATCTGTACAGTCAACTTTGCGAAATGAAGCTCTTTTCATGCTCTATGTCAACGTGTACTTTATTTTCATATTGCAATTGAAAGGAAGTATACAGTCAATAAGTAAGGGAAATGTATTGAAAAATTAGCCTTTTAGGGCAATCTACACTGGGACATGTACATGACAACTACGTGTGTTATGAACCCTCTAAGATTCTCTAAATTGTCAGGATCGTACGACCACACGGCACGAGGACGACTGTTTTCCTTTACACAGTATATTTCACTTCATCTGATAATTAACAATGAACACTAATAACACCAGCTATTTATAGCATGCAAAAACAGCGTACATGCAAAACATAAGCAGATAAAACTGGACATAACAGCGTATACAGCAAAATGCACACAACGCATATAGCGTATGCCATGCAGCAACATCAGCGGTACGGCGGAGTCGAAATACAACATTTCAACGAATACAATGCCATAAGCGCGAAGGCCTTTCCCAATTGAGAACTGGTGGTTTACAACATTCTCCCCACCAAAGGGCTTCTCACCGCCGTACAACAATGCACACAAGTCAAAAACGATCCGGGGCTCTGACTACGCGCCCAGAACGCGTTATCTCCTGCTGCCGTGGTGGTGGTGACGGTGCTGACGGTTCATACGCTGGCTGCTGAGGGACGATAGCAGGTTGAGCGGTATCTGCAAGCCCAGGAGCCACGTCCTGTGACGATACTTCTAACGGCACTAACCTTTGGATCGGCCTCAACAGGGTACTGGTACTCAACTTAACCTTGGCAACACGACGCTTACCATCTCGACCAGGGAATAACTCGATGATCCGTCCCAAACGCCAGAACTGTTTGCGCTTGGTATCATCGAGAACAAAGACAACATCACCCACAGCTAAAGGGCGCGACATGGTCTGTTGGTGTTTGTTCAGCTGACTTAGGTACTCCACCTCCCAACGATTCTTGACATGCTCCAGTGTCCGACTGAGGTAACGCAATCTCGATGACATCTGCGCAGCGTCCAGGGTACCTGCTGGCTTCTCTGACGACATCCAGATGTCACCCATCATCATTGCAGGGGTTACTGGTGGCTCATCCAGGCTATCAGACACATAAGTTAGCGGACGGCTATTCACCACTGCTTCAACCTCATACAAGAGGGTCTCAAGCTCCTGGACCTTCAGAAACGCTGTTCCCATTACCTTTTTCAAGGCACTCTTCACTGTACCAACCATTCGCTCATAGAAGCCTCCATGCCATGGTGCAGCTGGAGGATTGAACATCCATGGCACACCCAGTTTGTCAGATGCCGCCTTGAACGTTGTAGCGTTGTCAGACCTGATCCGAGACGGCAAACTACGTCTCGCGACAAACTTCCGAAATGCCATCAAGAATGACTCGGTACTTAAACTATCGACCACCTCCAAGTGAACTGCTCTGGTGGTGGCACACACAAACAATGCTATCCATACCTTCGGAGATGACTCACCACGGCGCACGTACAACGGACCAGCATAGTCGATGCCGGTAGTTGCGAAAGGCCTCTCGTGAACAACTCGGTCTTCCGGCAACGGCGGGCAGACTTCTGAGGCAGCCTTAGCCTTGTAGCGGCGGCATGTAACACATCGCTGAGTAATGTTGCGTAGCGCCCGTCGACCACCGATAATCCAGAATTTCTGACGGATGAACGACAAGACTCCTTCTACACCTTGGTGCATCCTTTCAACATGCATTTTCTCCAACAGCAACTCGGTCAGATGATGTTTGCCTAACAGGACTGGGTGCTTGGCTCCATACGCCAACTCGCTGTGCTGAAGTCGTCCCCCGGCTCTGAGCACTCCATGCTCATCCAGAAACGGTGCAAGCTGATACACCTTCGACCCAGGCTTCACTGGTTGACCTTGCTTGATCAGCTCAAGATCCTCAGCGAAACATGCGGCTTGAATGATGCGGTACAATACGTTGTCTGCTGCAAAATAGAGTTCAGCACGAGGCTCAGTGTGCTTCCACTGCAACATCCGAGTCACCATGCCCTGTGCCCTCGACCATTTACTGAATCGGAGCCACCATTCCTTATCAGATTCTCGACTACAGGTGGTGGCTGACACTCGTACCTCTACACTGGACTCATCTGTAGCTGCGGTTGAGGATGCGGTGGGCCAGTCATTGGGCTCCGTGATCCAGGTTGGTCCGCCCCTCCAGAACGGACTACGGATCTGCTGTGCACTACTCCCACGCGACGGTAAATCTGCTGGGTTGTGAAGGCCCGGGCAATGGTTCCACACAATGCCGACCTTCTTCGATATCTCTTGGACTTGACTGACGCGGTTAGCCACAAATGTTTTCCATTTGTACGATGGATTACTGATCCAATGAACGGTAGTGAGACTGTCAGTCCAGCCATAGACTTGCGTGACGGTCACACGCAGCTCCTTCACCACAAACTCAGCGTAGCGAGCCGCTAGACATACTGCTTGTAACTCAAGGCGGGCTAACGTGGGCGGAGACACAGGTGCCACTTTGGCCTTGGCAAATACCAAGTGCGACTGTCCATTGACGACGGCATACAAACAACATCCAAACGCTTTCTCACTGGCATCGGCGAAAGCATGAAGCGCAATCGGCGTGTCAAGATTGCAGCAAATCCAACGTGGTATGTCAATGCTCACCACTTCGGCCAACTCTCCCCACCATTGCGCACATGCGGCTGCGATGCCATCAGGCAACATATCATCCCAGTCGCCTCCGACTTTCCAGGCTTGCTGTAGCAGTATCTTTCCCGGCACAACTGCCGGTGCTGCTAGACCTAGCGGATCAAACACTGACGCAACACACTTGAGGAGGGATCGCCGGGTCCAAACAGACGGCCTATCGGACTCGCCTAGCGCTGCTATGCTGAGCAAGTCATCACTGGTTTTCCATTTCAGACCGAGAACTTTATCTCCGGCCTCTGGATCGCACGGGATTTCGTTGCCTCGCCACTTGCGTAACTCCATGCCAGCATCCGTAAGCACACGCACGCTGAACTCTTGCATCTCCTTAGCTTCCGAGGCATTTGAGACACTAGAGACCAAATCGTCAACGTAGAAACTCGTGAGCAAGAGATCAATACGATCTCGCTCTTTGGGTGCAGACAACGCCCGTAGCTCCTTCAAGTGATGCTGAATCACCGCAGTAAGCATGTATGGCGAGCAGTTTACGCCAAATGGCAGTTTCGTTAGCCTCCAGGTTAACAGTTCATCGCTGTCGCTTCGACCGGGCCACAAGAAACGCAGGTACGGACGGTCTTCGGGATTAACCGCGACCATGAAGAAAGCCTTGCGGATGTCCGCTTGCAGCGCGCTCTTATATTCACGGAACCGTAATAGCATACCTGCGAGACTCGGCAATAGCGACGGTCCAGGGTCAACCATGTCGTTCAACGACTTGCCATCTGGAGCCGTCGCCGAGGCATTGAACACCACTCTTAACTTCGTGGTTGCAGCGTGCTCGCGGAATACACCATGATGCGGTACATAGTACCCGGCATCGCTCTCACATGGCTCCAGCTCAATTGCTCCAAGCTCACGGTACTCCCTGATCAGCACATCATCATAGAGCGCACGCTTCCCATTCCTCTTCAGCTTTTCAAGAAGCCGCGTTGCGATGACTCTAGCTTGAGTAAAGTTATCCGTTGGGCGACGCTCATTTCGCCACAAGAGACCCACTTGGTACCCGCTGCCCTGGCGACATAGCGGGAACGATGGCAGGTGCTGATGTTGTTCTGGGGGTTCATCCAACTGCCATAGTTGTTCAATGTGGGCTGTGACACATGACACGGTCACCGGCTGACTGTTTCGACTTGGTGCAGACGCTGGACCAGATAATACATTACCTATCTCTGTGTTCCACACCGTCTCACCATTAACTTCCTTCTTGCTGTGCAGTACCGCGTTGATATAGTCTGCACCAATCAGCATATGTATTTCGTCTGATGTCCCTTGTTGAGGCTTGTCACTCAGCTCTACTCCCCAACTGTGCCACTGCGCAATGGTCTGCGGACTTGCGCACTTCAGGTCCAGCTCAAGCGTTGGTTTCACGAACGCGCGTACCCGAATGCTAGCGGAGCTACCCTGGATCGTGATGGCGTACTTATCCATGCGCTGTTGGGTTGGTTCCGCGCCGAACGGCTTCACCTCTACATTTTCAACCCCAACGTGTTCTGCATCGATTGCTGACACCAACGCTGCAGTCACGAATGACGCCTCAGCACCCGAGTCCAGGAACACTCGAACCTTCGCGTTTCGAGTTCTTCCCTCAACTCGTGCCACTCCGGTCATCACCCGCACACTTGGCGAGTGAAGACAGCACGACCCAACATTCTTCTCCGTAACTATCTCAGTCGGTTTCTCCCGGCTGTAACCTGCTCTATCCAACACATCATGTATTAGCAGGTGGTGTTTCCCCTGGCATTTCGTGCATCTCGAGCCTGACCGACATTCTCTGGCCATATGGCCATACTTAAGGCAGTTCCAGCAGAGTCTCTCTCGCTGCAGAAAACCCTTTCTCTCTTCCTGTGGCAGCGACTTTAGCTGCTTCTGTGCATCTGCGACCGATATCGCCATGCACTGTGCCGACGCCGTGGGCCTTGGCACGGATCGTTCTACTGGCTTCCTGGCAGTATCACCCTGTCGTCCGTGCGCGACCTGGTAAGACGCGCCGTGCTCCTGTACCTGGCGCAGTGACATCCCGTAGCACTGCCGTTCGACCAGGTACGTCTTCATCTCAGGTCCGCATTGCTCCAAGATTACCTGCTTTGCCATTGCTTGCAGCACCGGGGCCATTTTACCTATATCGGCGCTATACTTGGTGCCCACCTCGCCATCTTCTGTCATAGCGAGTGTGGCCCACACCTCTACCTCTCGGCAAACACGGACAACGTATTGATGAAACGACTCATCTGACCGCTGCTTGCCTGTCAGCAATGTCTTCCACGCTTTATCCGGAGTCTTTCCGAGCGAGGCAAGCAACTCTCGCTTTGCTTCCTCGTAATTGTTGCATCCAATACATATCCTCTCCGCTTTGCTACCCGCTAGCGCGATGCGCAGTCGCAGCAGCCATTCGCTTTCTTCGAACTCGTTCTTGGAACAGATGTCCTCGAACAGGTCAAGATAACGCTCCAATGGCTGCGTTCCATCATATGAGGGGATTTTCATCACCGGTTGACGCCCACCGCTGTGACTGGGAGATTCCTCTGTACCTCCCATCGTGGCTTTACCCTCACCCTCCTGCGCATTGGCGATGCGCTCGTTAATCTCCTTTAGTGTTTTGGCAAACTCGGTGCGGAGCGCCTCCTCTCGCCGTCTGGCACTGCGCTCCTCACGCTCCGCGTACTGTTGGAGCCTCTGCTCCACATGTACCTTCAACAACTCGCCTTCTAATCCTAACCGCTCTCCATTGTCGATAAAGCTGGCTTCCAAATTGTTCCATAGTTCCTCTGCCATGCTCGCTCCTATCCTGGCGTGGTCGCCAAATGTTATGAACCCTCTAAGATTCTCTAAATTGTCAGGATCGTACGACCACACGGCACGAGGACGACTGTTTTCCTTTACACAGTATATTTCACTTCATCTGATAATTAACAATGAACACTAATAACACCAGCTATTTATAGCATGCAAAAACAGCGTACATGCAAAACATAAGCAGATAAAACTGGACATAACAGCGTATACAGCAAAATGCACACAACGCATATAGCGTATGCCATGCAGCAACATCAGCGGTACGGCGGAGTCGAAATACAACATTTCAACGAATACAATGCCATAAGCGCGAAGGCCTTTCCCAATTGAGAACTGGTGGTTTACAACAACGTGTATATGTACTTAAGCTGATTGCTCCAACTATTTTGAAGCAAAAGAAAAAAAGAAAGAAAAAGCACCCCCCCCCCCCCCCCCCTTGGCGGCATCTTCTTGCATGTGTGCCTTATCGATCGCCACAGGTTCTGGTACTTCTGCATGACAGGTACTTGAAATAGCTGTCAAAAGCCCAGAAAGTCATTATTCAAGCAGTGAACATGACCTCGGGGCACTAAAAGCATGTCGCTATTCCAAGCTTCCCACTTCGGACCGAAAAGACCTCCTATTAAAGATGCTTTGTTTCAAATTATCCACGGCCAGTTCCCGGACTCGTTTCCGAGAGGTCAACGACAAGTGCACTGTGAAAGACATGGCAACGCATCACCCCGACGACAGTATCAATGTGTACAGCAGGTAGGGGTATGATGGCACAGAGCGCTTCCTGACTTGGTGCTGTGCAAATCTTGTGGCCTACGAAGGAACCATTCCTCATGCTCGGAAACAGATCCGATTGACACGATTCGAACTAGACTCCAACCTCTAATTAATCCGGTGCATCGTGTCAATCGGATCTGTTGACCTCTCGGAAACGAGTCCGGGAACTGGCCATGGATAATTTGAAACGAAGCATCTTTAAGAGGAGGTCTTTTTTCGGTCCGAAGTGGGAAGCTTGGGTTTCTGTTATACTCTAGTGTGAAAATTGTTCTGGCACATGCCGCGAAAGCAGCTTCTCTAAGACCGTTAGTGACGGCGAGTGCCCGTGCTTCTCATTTGGCACTTTCCGCAGTCTTGCTATGCGCACTCCAGACTTCTCATGGTGTTCTCTCATCTTGTCATAGCTGGTATTAATTCTCACTGTGTCCAGTGGTCGTGTCATAGCTGGTATTAATTCTCACTTTGTCCAGTGGTCTTGTCGTAGCCGATAATCATTCTTGTTGCTTTCATTCATCTTGTTGTAGCCATTATTATTTCTTGTTGTGTTCGTTAATTTTGTCATAGCCAATATCCCCTCTATTAATTCTTGCTGTGTTTGTTTTTCTTGTCGTAGCCAGTATTAATTCTTGTTGCGTTCCCTCATCTTGCCATAGCCGTCATTATAATTATCTCATTGAGTTCTGTGATGTTGTCATAGCCGGTATTAGTTCGCATTGCATTCTTTCATCTTGTCATAGGTGGTATTGATCCGTGTTGTGTTCGTTTATCTTGTCATAGCCAATACTGATTGCCGTTGTTGTCCGTGGTCTTCTCTTGCAGATAACAAAGGAGATGTTCTACGCTAATGTAGCCCGTGACATCCTAAGATACATGGCGAGAGATCTGAGTGATTCGGTAAGGGCAGGGTGCAGTACTTTCTATTCCATGTGTATGCATATTTGTGGTTCAGTCACTCAGTTAGCCAGCCTGTCGGTCTGTCAATCTGTCTGTCTGTCTGTCTGTCTGTCTGTCTATCTGTCTGTTTCTGTCGCTCTACCTTTCTGCCCCTCTGTCTGTGGGTTTGCTTATTTGTTGATCTTGAGGTATGCAGCTTTCTATCTCTCAACCTGTCTCTCTTTCCCTCATTCGTCTGTGTTATTCAGGCATTATAATCTAACCCATCCTTCCAGGCAAATTAGCCGACCACCAACCCATACAATCACCATTCTATCCACCCACCAGTCCGTCCACAAATCCATCCACCCATCCATGCATCCACCCATCCATGCATCCGTCCAGGCAGTCATCCATCCAGACAGCTATCTATCCATCCACCCATCCATCCATCCATCCATCCGTCCATGAATCCATGCATCCATCCACCCATCCATCCACCCATCCATCCACTCATCCATCCACCCACCCATCCATCCATCAACCCATCCGTTGTTGACGTTCTTGTCCTGAGGCGGATTCACACTTTCGTTTGCACTCCTGTGCTGTGTTCTCCATTCCCTACGTACATCTGTAGGAGGGTGGCTTCTTTTCTGCCGAGGATGCCGAATCCTACGCCCAGCTAGGCGAGGCGCAGAAGCGCGAGGGTGCGTTCTGCGTGTGGCGGCACGAGGAGATCCAGCAGCTGCTGCCGCAGGTCGTGGAGGGCACGTGCATGGCGGGTCGCTGCATCACGTTCTGGGAGGTGTTCTGCTATCATTATAGCGTCGAGGTGCAGGGCAACGTGCCGGCCGCGATGGACTCACACGGGGATCTCAAGACGCAGAACGTGCTGAAGGAGCGCTGCACCGTGGCGGAGACGGCGGCGCAGTTCAACCTGGCCGTCGATGTGGTACAGCAGTTACTCGTCTATTGTAGACAGGTGCTGTTTGATGCACGGCGACTGCGACCACGACCGCATCGCGACGACAAAATCGTCACCGGCTGGAATGGTATGTTAGGTGCAGTCCAAGATTACCAATCGTTGCTTTTTTCTTCTTCAAAAGTAACGTTTTCGTTTGGGGGTGGGTGGATTTTAACTCTTCTAGGAATTTCGTTTCAGGATGGCAATAAACTAGGGCTGAAACGATCGTGGATTTTCAAGTATCGATTACTCTCTAGCTTAACGATCGAGTAATCGATTATAATCGTTAGCAAATAGCGTCATAATTCTGTGCAAACATTACTCTGTTTCCACAAACTATGCCTTCATAATACCAACAAATCTGCATTAGTGAAAGGGTAGCTCCGAAACATGGCAGTTTTGAAGTCAATTTAACCTCAGAACATGAACCATACCCCTGGCAACTGCATACTCCCAGCGGAAACTGATTCAAACTTCACAAAACGAGGGTTTACAATACTTTCTGGACAGAAATTTAAAAAACGCAAAATAATCGTAATCGGTAATCTAAACGATTGCTCGATCGTTAGAGTTATCAAACGAGTACTCGATTATTCGGTATAATCGTTTCAGCCCTACAATAAACAGAACCAGCTGAAGCGTCATTTCACGATGTTTCGTTTTGAAATAAATTATGGAATGCGGGAATTTTGCCGTGACAGACACCCGACCGTGCAGAAGAGTCGTAAAAAGTTGGTGTGGCATCTTACTACAGTCCGTTTCAAAGAGATCAGCAATCCTGGAGATTGCCCAGGGAGTTTACCGTCTTACCGTCTTACCGTTTCTTTGAGCTGCGATGCAATTATTTACTCTCACCATGTGACGAAAACGACATCGACATAGACTCATTCCCAATGCCATGACTTGGCAAAGCTATCCGTGTGACTTCGACGACATTTTGAGAAAAGCAGACGCCTGTGAAAGCTGATAGAAGACGGCGTTGACTCCTAAATTCAAATAAATTGGCGATCTTGAAATACTAAAATATCGATCGACGTGCCGGTGTATTCAACAACATGTAGCTACAGCGCAATGACTTCTATTCACTCACACCGTTTCAGTGTTGTGGGTGTGTTCACATGGCGTGAGCCAGTCAAGTGTCAGTCACTGTTCGGCAGGAAGCGCAAGCTCCAACAACAAGTCGTTTGGTGCAGCCACCTTCTCAGCTTGTTCACCAAAACAATGAAAAAAGTTTGATTTGAAGATAGGTTGGTATTTGAACCCACAAAATCATGGTCAGCAGACAGCATTCATAACCGCAAGGCCAAAAAGGAAGGGATAAATCATGGGTTTTGATAAAAAAATCGATACTGGCTTCCAGGGCAAATTGTAAACCATGGGAAAAGGCAAGAAACCTGGCCGAAATGCTAATTCCTTAACGGCTGGTCCAATTGTTCCGAAACCTTCACAGAACAATTTGCCGTACCCTAACAAGCCCTTCTATGTACTTTGTTGTCCAATTTCCCCATATCTTCATACTTTTTAAGACCCAAACCTGATTGCTAATCTTTTTGAAACGGACTGTAGTTACGGAATGGTTGAAAATGACTTTCCGCATTAACTTTTGAAATTTGCATTGTTTTCTTGCTGTTGCTGGCGGGTTCCTATCTGTGCTGTTAGGTCTTGCGATCAGTGCATTTGCTAAGGCTGCACAGGCACTGGGTGAAGAGGAGTGGATGCAGCGGGCAGTCCTGGCGGCTCATTTCATCAAGAGTCGTATGTTCATCGGTGGACGCCTTAAGCGCAACTCCTATCGGCGTTCCAGCGGGTAGGTGTTTCAGACCGGGTAGGGTTGTCAGCCTGGGTTTTCAGTTGTCAGCCCGTGTTTTCGAGTGTCAGCCCGTGCTGCCTTCCTTATTGATCGAGTGTGGTGAAAACTGGGGAGATTGAGATGGAGCTGGAGGTGTAGACAATTATATCTAGGAGCTAGCTTCAAAAGAAGTCTTGAGGCTTCCTGCAGCTTCATAATCGAAAAGAGGTGTGGGTGGACACACCCATTTGCAGCGAGAATGGAATGGGTGTGTCCACCCAAAACCTCTTTTCTGAGTTAAGTTTAGTAACTAGTTTCACTACAACTGCCCCCCCCCCCCCCTCGCCCCTACTGTATGAGGTAGCAGATGTATGAGGTAGCTGCGTGACCTACCTGCATGGAAAGCTGCTCAGACAGTAGAGTATCACATTCAGTTCACTACAGTCCATTCGTAAAAAGGATGGACTTCTAGCTTTTGGCCATAAATGGGTCAAACCTTGAGTTTTTTTGAAATTTTTCTGCAATCCCCTATGGAATCCTGTTCCAATTATGTTTCCGATGTCTATATTTAATTAACAAGAATAGTATTTTGGCCAGGTTTTTCCCCAAAAGCACTGAATTGGGAAAACCATCAAAATCCAGGCCGTTTGACCCCACCTGCAACAGTGCATTGTGCGGTTCGAACCCCAGTTCAGGTACCCTTTCTAGACCCTTTTTTCAAATTTCAAATTTCGCAGCACTGCACTGTGTACAGTGAAATCAAGGAAAATCGCCAAATACGGGAGCTCGCCAGGGCCAGGGCCCACCTTTTTTATGAATGGACTGTAAGGCAAGAAGCAATAATCGAATGCGAAAAGGTCAGGCGAATGCATGAAAGAATGAACTCTTGCTGTGAGCAATACGCAATACAATATGCCCGAATGAAAGCTCTGCCTGAGCTTGAGGGAAGCGCAGAATTTTCCTGGGTTATGGGAGCTGGCCACGCATGCGATTTGTATCTAAATTCGTAATTGGCTACCAATTACTTGGTAATATGAAGTGATCCTAGTCAGAGTTCGAATGTGACATTTTGCCTGAAGGTCCCCCTAGATTTTTTGACTAAGAAAATCTTAAAATCTCAATTGCTGTTAGTCAACAAATTTTCTGTGCGTTGAAATTTCGGCCTCCTAGGAAGAAGGGGTACGAAGGAAAATCGTAAATCGTCCGACACTGTACATGTACTACATGCGTGCGATATTCGTCGTCTAGCATAGCAAGCTGTGCTCGTATCAGAGAGAGAGGGGAGGGGGTCCAAGTACGAAAGGAACAATGTTCGTTTCAGGGACGACAAAAATTTTTTTGCGACGCCCCTTGCCGTTACTTGAAATAGGCAATGTTGACTGTTCAACGTCTGCTGCTGCATCTGAGCTGCTTTGACCGCGCATATAATGTGTGTGTGTGCGTGTGTGTGTGTGCGTGTGTGTGTGTGTGTGTGTGTGTGTGTGTGTGTGTGTGTGCGTGCGTGTGTGTGTGTGTGTGTGTGTGTGTGTCTGTGTGTCTGTGTGTGTGTGTGTGTGTGTGTGTGTGTGTGTGTGTGTGTGTGTGTGTGTGTGTGTGTGTGTGTGTGTGTGTGTGTGTGTGTACAGGGCGCGTGGTCTTGACATAAGCCCAACGGAAGCTTTCTCACCTGACTATGCTTATCTTATTCGCGGCCTGATCGACCTGTATGAAGCCACGTTTGACGACCTGTGGCTGGAGTGGGCGGTGGACTTGCAGAATGTGTTTGACACTCTGTTCTGGGATACGTCGCGGGGAGGTTACTTTGACTTCATGGAGGGTGACCCGTCTATTCTGTTGCGCTTGAAAGAAGGTAGGAGAGAGACAACCTGTGTGTGTGTGTGGGGGGGGGGGGTACATGGTGTGGGGGTGGGTTGGGAGTGTATGTCTGTGTGTGTGTTCGGGGGGGGGGGGGGCTGTCTGTGTGAGGAGACAAGACAATCCACGGATCGACAGCATAATGTTATTGAGTAGGTTAAAAAAGCGAACCATTGGCTGTATTGTCAGAAACTGCCCGTGCAACATTTCGCTCTCCACTACCTGTGGGTGTCCTGTGTTTACCATCTATATCATTGGGTTTGGTTGTCTACAGTATTGGCTAAAGAAATCCAATCTCATGAATAGCATAGTGCAGCCCCTACATTAAACACACTGGTACTATCGCGGACATGGGAATCCAGTCGAGTGACCGGGGCTGGCACCCTCAGCGCGTACAGAACGGTGCGATGCGACCAGCGCGCTGCAGCGCATGATGGCATGCATGTGTGTACTGATTACCCACGGCTAGCTGCATGGTCAGCGCCCTGGGGCTGCTAGACGTGCGACCGGATTTCCATGTCCACGACAGTATGTGAACTCTAACACGGCGCTACTTTTTTATTATTCATGAGTTTGGATTTCTCTGGTTAGCACTGTGCCTGCCCTTCACACCGCTGTTTGCCACCCTGCACTGCTCAGATCAAGATGCTACGGAACCAACGGCATCCTCTGTGGCCGCACAGAACCTCCTGCGCCTGGCCGAGTACTCCCAGATCAAGGAGTTTGGCGACCGCGCCACCATAACGTTCAACGCTTTCGGCAAGCGACTGCAGACGACGCCGTTCAGCTTGCCGGAGATGATGAGTGCGTACCTATACGGCAGCCGACAAACCACGCAGGTAAGATGAACAGTTACTCCTGCTGCAGCTGCTGGCTTGAATGAAGCCTCTTGATGGTGTACTGTCAAACCATTACTTGTGTAGAGTTGTACAAGCCTCTTGATGGTGTACTGTCAAACCATTACTTGTGTAGAGTTGTGCAAGTCTCTTGATGGTGTACTGTCAAACCATTACTTGTGTAGAGGTGTACACGTCTCTTGATGGTGTACTGTCAAACCATTACTTGTGTAGAGGTGTACACGTCTCTTGATGGTGTACTGTCAAACCATTACTTGTGTAGAGGTGTACACGTCTCTTGATGGTGTACTGTCAAACCATTACTTGTGTAGAGGTGTACACGTCTCTTGATGGTGTACTGTCAAACCATTACTTGTGTAGAGGTGTACACGTCTCTTGATGGTGTACTGTCAAACCATTACTTGTGTAGAGGTGTACACGTCTCTTGATGGTGTACTGTCAAACCATTACTTGTGTAGAGGTGTACACGTCTCTTGATGGTGTACTGTCAAACCATTACTTGTGTAGAGGTGTACACGTCTCTTGATGGTGTACTGTCAAACCATTACTTGTGTAGAGGTGTACACGTCTCTTGATGGTGTACTGTCAAACCATTACTTGTGTAGAGGTGTACACGTCTCTTGATGGTGTACTGTCAAACCATTACTTGTGTAGAGGTGTACACGTCTCTTGATGGTGTACTGTCAAACCATTACTTGTGTAGAGGTGTACACGTCTCTTGATGGTGTACTGTCAAACCATTACTTGTGTAGAGGTGTACACGTCTCTTGATGGTGTACTGTCAAACCATTACTTGTGTAGAGGTGTACACGTCTCTTGATGGTGTACTGTCAAACCATTACTTGTGTAGAGGTGTACACGTCTCTTGATGGTGTACTGCCAAACCATTACTTGTGTAGAGGTGTACACGTCTCTTGATGGTGTACTGTCAAACCATTACTTGTGTAGAGGTGTACACGTCTCTTGATGGTGTACTGTCAAACCATTACTTGTGTAGAGGTGTACACGTCTCTTGATGGTGTACTGTCAAACCATTACTTGTGTAGAGGTGTACACGTCTCTTGATGGTGTACTGTCAAACCATTACTTGTGTAGAGGTGTACACGTCTCTTGATGGTGTACTGTCAAACCATTACTTGTGTAGAGGTGTACACGTCTCTTGATGGTGTACTGTCAAACCATTACTTGTGTAGAGGTGTACACGTCTCTTGATGGTGTACTGTCAAACCATTACTTGTGTAGAGGTGTACACGTCTCTTGATGGTGTACTGTCAAACCATTACTTGTGTAGAGGTGTACACGTCTCTTGATGGTGTACTGTCAAACCATTACTTGTGTAGAGGTGTACACGTCTCTTGATGGTGTACTGTCAAACTATTACTTGTGTTTTTTTTGTTTTTTTTTGATGGATATTGTCATTATTATTAGGTATGACAAACGGTAGTGCCACATAAAATGCACTGCCACATAAGGCTACTTCGAAGTTCATACATGTTATGTACAACATTGGCAGTCCAGTATGGACATGCATGAGAAAACATGCAGTACAAAGTCACAGGCAGGCTGTATGCACTGCACTGTATATGTGTTCGGCGTGCTTGTATATACATGCACTGCATTCGAAGTGACGTAACGAATACTCGAATGTGACTTAAAGAATATTCGAATGTGACAAACCGAACGAATGTTTGAATATTCGAATATTCGTTTCACCACTATAAAACACAAATGGTTTTAGATCCGGCTTTCAACCCCCGCCAGCTCCCTGAGCTCGTTAGCTGGACGATGGTATGCCGACCGAGACCCACGGACACACATGACAGCGGACCGGAGCAGCGCGAAAGACAGCCTGCAGCGCACATATGCGTGTAGAGTTGTACAAGTCTCTTGATGGTGTACTGTCAAACCATTACTTGTGTAGAGTTGTACAAGTCTCTTGATGGTGTACTGTCAAACTATTACTTGTGTAGAGGTGTCCCCCGTTAATACGAGTCCGGTTAGTACATAAACCCCATTAGTACATAAGAAATCTCAAGTCCCGGACGAAACGTGGTCACTTCCATACAAATTTTGTCGGTTAGTACATAATTCGTTAGTACATAACATTTCTCCGTACCCGCATGCCGCCTACCTCAATAGTACATAATTTGTTGGTCTTTTGGCCTTCCAGTGGAGGCACATCGTGTTCTAAACTTCTAGTTTCTGCTTGTGGACGCGATTAGCTCAGAAATCAGAGCGCACATCACAAACCGACAAAGCTCTGTTGTTTTTTTCGAGTGACTGTACAGGCGCCGCTGGGCATGTATCATTTAAACTGTAGAATCTTCGCTGACTGTGACCGTTATAACATAATTTTTATGTTATATCGAGGGAATCAAGAATATCTCGTTCCCTAGTCATGGCAGCAAGA